AACATTTCAGGTTCAGATAATATCCCGTTACGATAAGTATCGAGGAAACGCGCCAAATTAAACAGCCCTTGAATAATTATAGTGCCAGGCATCATAAACACCCACAAAACAATCTGCAATCAGGCAAACTTTGACAAATATACCTAAGTAGATAGATTATGTAAAAATTTATTAGATTTGACAATTATAATAAATTTGTGACAGTTCGTTTGTTTGTTAAACCATGCGGCCGTAAATACTGGTATGTAGGGACCACCACCAGTACACTGGGTTTCACGATGCTAATTATCACGTCGGGATGTCACCTGAACTTGAAATTTTTGGGGAAATTGTGCATCATTGCAAAGCGGGCTGGGAGGGTTAAAAATATTTAAAGTGAGCTATTCAATATGATGAGCGTAATTGTGTTTATAAAATAGAATTGTAAGTTTATTTTAAATTTACCTCGGGTTAAGTTAACTGAGAGTTGGGTTGTGGGTTGTTTTTGGCATCCATTATTTAACATACTAAACATTCAAAATTACTAATGGATTTTGGGTGGTCGAGATTTACCTTGAAGAGAAAATTTAATAATCTTTACTTGTGGGTTTCGAATAAAAGTAAAAGAATTGTACAGGAATTTTCCAGTTATAACATGATACTAATATTTAAATTTTGCGTCTACAAAATTTAAAATACAATTAAAAAACCGTTAGAATTCTTAAAATTTTCATGAGTTTCGGACAGTTATGATTTACTTTCCTATTGTTTGAATAGTTTTGTTACATAGAACAAATCAATAACGTTACATCATACACTCGCACGGTTAACTAAAGACGATCAGTTATTTTACAGCTCTTAACTCATGTGTGAAGAAAAACGTCGAAGCGGCCCCAAAAAGAAATTGGGTTTTCATCGCAAACAGAAATTTTCAAAGAAAAGAATGTTAGTTATTACAAAATAAACAATTGGAACTCTTTGACGAGTGATAGCTGTAAAAATACATGGTAATGAAATTATTTCTTCATAAATTATGGCAAGAGTTGACTTGGTTTATAGCTAAACCTTGAAATTTGAGAACTTTTAATTTCGGTGGCCCGAATTTTCTCATCATAAGTCTTATCAACCCGGACTCAGAAAATTATTTTGGAAATAAGCAAAATTGATACCTACTTTCTTATAATTAACGTGTCGATTTATTGATTCACCCATCCTCTTCCTTGATCTGAACTGAATTAGGATTTCCCGACTGAGTCTATAATTTCAGTCATGATAAGAATTGTGAATACTCGCACGTATCGCCCTTATGTATTTATGATACCAGGCTTCCAACACACACTCACAAACGATCATTCGCAGATTTGCAATTGATTTGATGAGGTTGATTGCTCGTGTGTTGGTTTTCGTATGTTTGGAACTGGACCCAGGGTATATTTAGGGCTTCTTGAATGCGGATTCACAATACCTATAATATTTGGATAATACATGGATCTGAAATTGTGAAATTTTTCAGTAGGAGCTACGAGTATTAAAAAAAGGAATAACATGCTTAATTGTTTCTGAACGAATTAAAAAAAAACGCAAGAGTTGCTTTTCTTCCGTTCCGATGTAGAAGTTAAATTGAGCGTTCGTATCCTTGAAATTGGTATAATGAACGTTCGTTTTACTCTTTTTAATGACATTTTAGTTTGAAAATTACAATGATATAACTAGGATGAAAGTTTGATAGCGTTACATCAAAAATATAAATAATCATTTAGCAAAAATAATGTCTACTCGCCTTACATGAACTTCATAAGAGAGCTGTAACACTATTTGCACTGAACAATGAACATTACTTAATAAACAAATTTTGTAATGATTATTTGTTCGATCATTTGAAGTTACTAGTTAGAAAATAAAAAATCTATCCAACCATCTTCGATAGTCACACACACGCATGATTGCAATCGGCCTTAGAAATGAGGCCTTCAAAACCCGGAAATTACGGTAGCAAATATGATGCTCATCAATTAAGTAAACATCGAAAGCATTAATTATTGAATAAAGAGAGCAATCATACTTCTCATAGACAATCTGTCACATCCAACTCGACTAAATATTCTTCAACAACTTGGCAAATCAAATTTCTTCCATGACTCTGAAGCTTTATATACATGTATAATTTCTAAGGAGGAATGGAAATTCAAATCAACACTCTTACCTTCACCGTTGCAACTGGAAGTGTTTTTGGTGGTACGGCGCGTCCATTTTTATGCCCCCTTTTGTTCAGCAGTAACGCTTCTAACAGGCGTGCAAGCATAAATTATGTTTTAAGTGCCCTGTGTTGATTCACTGTACAATATTTGACGAACTCCTAAAAACTTTCTCATTTACTGACGCTATTTTACTCATTCCATGTTTTGAAAGCAACGATCCAGCATTTTATTCGTCGATTTAATAAGGTATCAGACGAAAAATTTACCAATGTTCAATAATTGCACTCAGAAAATATATCAGGATTGTGAAGTGAATCGCATCCATTTAGAACGAGCCTGGCTTTAGACTCAAATTATTATTGACTCAAGGAAATACCACAACTACGATTTTGGCTCGCTTTGAACACTCGTGTGTCTGGTGCAGTGCATTTGCAGACTGCAAAGAAAATCCACATTAGCGTTGAAAATTAAAGTTGGAGAACGCTATATGTACTTATAGCGTTATTATATATTATTGCTATTGCGTGTAATATTGCTATATTATAGCGTTATAGCAAGCGATAAACTTATTTAAATTTTCTAATCAGATTTTAATTTTCTTGTGTATGAATTATGAAGTGATAGGCATTGCGCAATATATTCTTCCTATCTAAATAATAGGGTTTTTTGATTGATGTCATTCAATCGTTGCTTCAGCATGAATCTGAAACAGATCACAGGCAAGATGTTGTAATAATACGAGGGAGCTGCAGCCCCTAAATTTGAACTCATGAGAATGAAAAATTGCTCATAGCTTAAAAAAATATAACTCAGTACTCACTGCATTGAGTGACAGAGAGCGCATTTTCTCTTCGATGAAAACTTGAGGTCACGGACAGACGGACGTACAGACGGACAGATAGACAGACAGACGGACGGACGGACATGCCGAGCACAATAGTGCATTTTTTCATAAATGAGAAAAGGCGCTAAAAACAAAGAACTTCAAATTGTTCAGGCCACGAGAGCTCATTCCGCCTTAAAAGTAATAATAAAAGCAAAGAGCATAAATCTGAGGTTAAAACAACATTGTTCACTGCTTGATTTCTGGTTGAAATGTGGATCAACAAAAATTAAACGGCGAATCAATGTCGATATCTTATCAACACTAGAAGAAACGCTTAAGCAACGTCGATCTTGGGACGTTGAACTTTGATCTATTTTCTAAAGTTCACAAAATTTCGGACGCGTTTCAACCGCGTTTCGATTACCTCTTCTGTTTTACAAGGTTTCATTTTAGATGGAGCCAATTAACGCAACATGTATTTTCAATTATTCCCCGTGAAAATGTGCATCGGGTTTGTCTAATCGTTTAAACATATATCGATATCGAAGAATTACCTTTGAAAACGGCAGTCAAGTCGGTATTTATTCACAATCCTAATGTCTTAACTTTATATGTAGTATGTGTAATATGTAATATTATATAATATTAAAAAATATATCATTATTTATCATATTAATATTAATATTTATATAATATTAATCTTATGTAATATTAAATAAGAATAATATTTATCGATTGATGTACTAGTTGAATGTCAATATTTTTAAATTCTTGAAGAACTTTGTAATAACTCTTTACTATAAGAAAAAGTTAGTCGTTGTAATCATGCGGACCATTGATTATAATTTAAAATATCTAGATTGATAAACAATGAAAAGTACAAAATATGTTCATCAATCTTGCGATTATTGACAGCGATTTCCAACAGCTGTCCATCGCCGCGCTAACATGCTACTTGCGGCAAACTGTTCAATACAAACAGCACATTTGCTTAATTTGCTAATTATGAGTTCATCTTGGATAATAAATAAATTATAACTAATAATACTTTTTAACGACTAATTTTAAGTTTTATTCGGCAGCATTCAGCAAGATACGTGATACACCCTGCGCATCGTCCTGCAAGTGGTGATGGTATGTGATGGTGATTTCAAACATTCCTCATCTTTACTTGTTAATTCTGTGAATAAAAAAGAAATAAACGATATCTATTTAATTTACACACAGAAATGAACTTCAAATAGTTATAGATAATTTCTAGTGCAAATGAGTTCTCCGTGTCCGAGTCGGCAAAGGCATCGTGCGCGAGCTAAAGGTTCCGGGATCGAGGAAGGTTGAAGGATTTTCCCTTAGAAAATCCTTGGATTAAAGATAATTGGAAAATAGGGTCGCAAATATTGCGTCTATGTCTATTTAATGCAGAAAATTATAATAAGATGCTCATATAATGTGACTGTCACGATAAAACACGTACAATGTAATCCGGTCATTCATCAACATAATATCAACGACGATTCAATTTGCAAACCAATCTCTTATCAACTTTAAAACAACGCTGTAATGTAACATAAACACTACCTTGTAAGAATTACGTTGCTTCATTTTTCATTCTGCACTTGAATTCAACAGGATTATATATGGTCATAAACGGATGCATGTTGTTCCAACGTTGATTCACCCTTAAAATGCTGGTTGCGTTACTATTCTAATTGAATTTGCTGTATTGATAGTAGGTATCTGCGCCTATTACCGAACTGTAATTGAGATTTGTGCTACCGGTACAAAATAATTCGTTCATTGAACATAAACTATTGATAAACATCAGACGATCTATTTGTATGCAAAAGGCAAAGTAATCGTTTATGTGACATTCAAATGATAAGTTCTTTTTACTTCTAAGGCAGTTTGTTGCAATTATGCGATTTGTCTTTTTTGCCGTTCCCGTGTGATGGCAATGAAGGTAAAACAATTCAACAATCATCATGAAAAATAGAAACATGGAACTGCCCAAACTTCTTTACCACACGTGCGAAATTACACGTGTGGGCTGTATATAGTAGTGCACTAATGCCCTCATACATTGTTACTTAATACAGACAATTATGTTTAACGTGTATTTTAATACGTCAGGAATGAGAAAACAAACCCCAAGTAATCCCATCTTTCATTATATTGCGACGCTACACACACTTTTGGCGCGTGGAATTGTGCTGTCAAACCACAGTCACCATATTTTCTACCTATGAACGATGATTCCCTCAATAGTCCATAATTGAGGCATTTGAATGCTTTACTGCTTCAAATTCTACACCGAAGATAAATTGAGCCCGAGTAATGGTATCATTGGATATTTTTGTCGGGTATGTGAATGATTATTTAGTTAACAAATCCTTTATCTCCCATCAGAGGCGTGCAAGCCAGGCTTCGAAGCTGTGGGCGGATTCTGCTACTTTTTCTCAACCAACGCAGTCAACTTTGCTACGGCTAGAAGCTCGTGCCCATTGGGCAGCGTGCTCGCCTATCCATCCTCTGCTGCCCAAATGGCTGATCTCGTGGCTTACCTCAACAACAGTAAGTCAAAAACAGGCGGTTCAATTGTTCTTTTTAGGTTCGAAGTGAACGTAAAGTCGAGGATGTGCATTGATTCGTTTACTCCGCTCAATCGGTTTCTTGAACAGCTTGTTCGGTTCTAGGCATTTTGTCTCAGATACTTAAAAATGTGCATTTGTATATAATCATACATGTTATTATTAGATGGCAGAATTTAATTGTTTATACACGTGCGATTGATGACCAGAGAATTGGTTGATTTATATTATCAGGGAGTGGAACTTTTCTTTCTTTGTCCGAGAGGCCGGTGTAGTCTATAAATTTTGCTTCAAAGAAGGTTGTAGACTTCTTCATGTTTTGGACAACATCGGACGAATTGGAATAACAATCAAGACACCGAGCCGCTGTCTCGTTAGCTACCTTCAAACTGGAGGGCAGGTGAACCACGCGAGACAAGCTCACCACCAGACCGTCACTCGCGTTGTGTTGAAGGTACTCATCAGCATCGTGATCAAGCTGTGGCCCGACAACAACCGACCAGCGATAGCTGAACCCCTCATCGCTACAGATTGGACTCCAGCTATCTGTTTTCTGACTACCGGATTTGTCTGAACTCTGAAAGAGTTTTCCCAGGAATTTTTGGTCCAAAAAATTTTACTGTAGTATCCTATTTACTTATATTATGTACTTATTTCCGCCCAAATGTCAATATTTAATGCTTCTCATAACTTGAAAATGAATGTTTGTTGCATTCGAAACGTCGTTAACAAAGAAAAACTACTTCCTTGAATTTGCCTTTTGATCTACCGTCATCTGAAGAAAAGTTCCACTCCCTGATAATATAAATCAACCAATTCTCTGGTCATCAATCGCACGTGTATAAAAAATCATACATGTGTAGACCGGCGGTGAACTATTTGAGCTTTGGCGGTGGAGTGGAGCTTTGAAGCTTTTTTCCACATGGTCCTTACATTCGTCAATGCGCTTGCTATATATAGTCCGATGAATGTATTCGTCAGAAGCGTTTATAATTGATTTGAATAGAATTAAACGAAATCAAATCCGGTTCTCTATCCCGAATTAAAAAAAAAGAATGCTTAATGAATGCACACTTCCGTTAAATATATGAATATGAGTTATTGGGTGCGTGTCTCTTCATTTACAGACAAGTCTGGAATAACCGACTGGTGGGTCGCTTTGACGCTGAATGCGGGCCAGTGGTTCTGGAGTGACGGAACGGTAACTACTGGAGAAAATTTGGGAAACAGTAACAATGAACCCTGCGCCAGACTCGATGCTCCCCCCAACTACGCGCCTCGAGACAATTCGTGCACGATCACTTACCGTTTCGTGTGCCAGTACAAGGTGTGAGCTTGAGTTCTCCTCTGTACTTATTGTACTGGTGAAACTAATTGCTCGACTTTCCGCTCACACATATATGTCTAAAGGTAAAATTATCCCGCTCTATGAATTTCGAACGAAACAACAGTCACATTTCGAAGGCAACAGAAATTCCTTGTATACTTTATAAATTAACCACTTACGTACCTGCAATTGTTTTTTAAAATACTAAAAAAATTCGAGATCAAATGAGCACTCTACAAGAATGATCTTCAAACTAACTTCATAATTACTTTGACGATGATATAGTAAAACTAACAATATAAAGACATTTAACCTACAAACCCGATGCCTCGGTTTTTGAACGAGTTCAAAGAACAAATCAGAACCAAGTCAGAAATTTTGTTTAAATGTTCGAACTGTGCGAATAAAGAATGTATTGACTAAGTACTTATATCATTAGTCTGCTTATATCGCA